GGTTCTGCAGGGTGAGGCCGAGGTTGAGCAGCCAGTCACTTCCTACGTTTTCACTGGCCAGGGTTCTCAGGAACAGGGTATGGGCATGGAGCTGTATGCTTCTAGCCCAGTTGCCCAGGAGGTCTGGGACCGAGCCGATCGCCACTTCATGGAGAACTACGGTCTTTCCATTATTGACATCGTCAAGAACAACCCTAAGGAGCTGACTGTCTACTTCGGTGGTCCTCGGGGTAAGGCCATCCGGGAGAACTACATGGCCATGACCTTCGAGTCGGTGAACGCCGACGGATCCATCAAGTCTGAGAAGATCTTCAAGGAGGTCGATGAAAACACCGCCTCATACACCTACCGATCTCCCACCGGTCTTCTCTCTGCCACCCAGTTTACTCAGCCAGCCTTGACTCTGATGGAGAAGGCCAGCTTCGAGGACATGCGCACCAAGGGATTGGTGCAGCGCGACAGCAGCTTCGCTGGTCACTCGCTTGGTGAATACTCGGCTCTGGCTGCTCTGGCTGATGTCATGCCCATTGAGAGCTTGGTGTCTGTCGTGTTCTATCGTGGTCTGACCATGCAAGTCGCCGTCGAGCGTGATGCACAGGGTCGTTCCAACTACTCCATGTGCGCTGTCAACCCCAGCCGTATCTCCAAGACTTTCAACGAGCAGGCACTGCAGTACGTTGTTGAGAACATTTCCGAGACCACTGGCTGGCTGCTGGAGATTGTCAACTACAACGTTGCCAACATGCAATACGTCGCCGCTGGTGACCTCCGTGCTCTCGACTGCCTCACCAACCTGCTGAACTTCTTGAAGGCACAGAACATTGACATCCCCGCTCTTATGGAGAGCATGTCTTTGGAGGACGTGAAGGAGCACCTGGTCAGCATCATCCAGGAATGTGTCAAGCAAACCGAGGCCAAGCCCCGCCCCATCGCCCTGGAGCGTGGTTTCGCTACCATTCCTCTCAAGGGTATCGATGTGCCCTTCCACAGTACCTTCTTGCGCTCTGGTGTGAAGCCCTTCCGTTCTTTCTTGCTGAAGAAGATCAACAAGACCACCATCGATCCCAGCAAGTTGATCGGCAAGTACATCCCCAACGTCACTGCCCGTCCGTTCGAGATCACCAAGGAGTACTTCGAGGATGTCTACAGGCTCACCAACTCCCCCCGCATTGCCTCTATCTTGGCGAACTGGGAGAAGTACGAAGAGGGCAACGAAAATGTTGCGAAATAATCTATTCCTCTTGATATCCTCTTTATAATGTTGTGTTTTTGATAGACCATTTTTCGTTCTCATGGGTCATTATGTGATATGTCTCAAAGCCTTGGAGTTTTTATGTGCATGTATATGAGTTTTAAGTTTGCATTTTAATACAGTTTTTTCCATATTAGTTATACCTTCAGACTCTTGCGCTTCCTAGAATAAGTAGTGCCTGTATATTACAAAGATGAAACCTCAAGCCAAATGTATATATTCAACACCAAACTGTTATGGTAGTGGCAACATGCCACTAAATTGATCCGCCCCCTCAATGGGACTTACCCACTTTAATCGTTGGTCAGTGTATATCTCCACCACAGGCGTCCGTTCATTCAAAATCCCACTATCATCAAATATTCCAGCCCGAAGGACTGTAGTTTCGTCAGGATCTCCATTGGTCTTGATCTTCCGTCCAAAAAGCGGCGTGCCTATCCACTTTCGTCAGATGCTGTCTTCACAAAATTCAGTATAGATACATACCACAGTCAGGACAGTAATAGTTCTTAATACTGTTTCCACTATCTGAGGTCTTTGCCACTTCTTTCGGATTTCCAGAGATCTCCACATTTGCGTTTTTGACAATGAAATTGTAGCTATAGGCTGCCCCAGTGAGCTTGCGACAATCGAGACAGTGGCACAGTGCCTAATGGAAAATATTAGGTTGACTTGACCAAAGATTGAATCATATTGGTTGTACTAACCGATGCCAGAGGCTGGCCCTTGTATTCGACTCGGACCTTGCCGCAGAAACAACTGCCAACAGCCATTTTTATAGAAGTAGAGTAATATCTGATGTAGAGCGTCCGTTTCATGCAGTCCGCTATTTGACAATTCGGGTGGGGACATCAATGACTAATCTTCACTATGTACTTTTGTGTAGCGGTCCATTTATTTTCCGGGTTTCAACACTCAACTTCTCAACCAGTTGGTAGGTGGGCGTATCTGTTAGTCTCAATCGACCGGTGACTAAGGTTTTGGTGGCCCCAACAATAAAGTACTGAAGTATTGGAAACCATTATGATGATGACTCATGGATATATACACCTACAAAGGTACTATGTATATTAGCAGGAATGGAAATTATAGCACGGAGTAAACATGTCGGCTTATCACTCTACGATATACAATAGGTAGAGGCTTGACAGAAAAGCATTAAACGTACAGAGGACTTTTCTACATATGAACAAAGATATATTAAGGACATCATGATCGCCCCGCACGGTTGAGAGGACCCCAATTAGCACGAGGGTTGAGCTGGTACCGCACCAGTCGTTTCTTGGTATGCGCAGCAGACACCTGACGGCCTAGAGCCTCATCAAATACCACCTCAAGGGTACTAGGGTGAGGCCGCGTGACGGGCTGTGCAGATGCCTTTCCCTTCTCCGGCGCAGGCTGGGGATCGGCATCGGGGCCAGTCTTTGCAGAAGCAGAAGCACTTTTCCAGGAGTTTCGCGATCCGGATCGGTAGAGAGCGGCTTCAACCTTGGTGACCAAGTCACTGACGTCTCTGCCAGCCTCAACGGCAGACATCAGGTCTTTTTTGAGAAGCGATAACCATTGATCTTCATCGCCCAATTTACGCAGGTTTTCACGGCTCTTGCCCATAATCGCAGCACCGGCGGATCCGGGCTTCAAGGATGATTCCTTGATGGGTGATTTCTGACGGACCCATTCGCGCAAGATCTCCCAAATCACCTCCCAGGGCGCATCGGTGCGGATTGAGTTTGGCTTGGTGTGGCTGCGAGTGGAGCGATATCCGAGATGGCTGAGCGCACCGCGGAACTCGTCGATTGGAATGGTGGTTGCGTGGATAACCTTTGAGAGAGCACTGAGTGAGAAGAAGAAAGGGTATTTTTCCCGAGCGGCAACATCCATTCGAGGAACGATGGCAGGGTATGCGGGATCACGCTGGTTCTTTGTGCTTGGCGCAGGTTGTTTGGGAGAGGATGGCTCGGATGAAGATGGTGTTAGGTCCAGGTCCTCTTCAAGGGCAGTGGTCAACATTCCCTCAATCCGAGCACAGGTCTGATATGTTTCGGGATCAGCTCCAGGAAGCATGTCCAAGATTTTTTGAATAAAGTCAGGATTGTGTAGCCGACCGGCCCACATGGGTCCTGCAAGATGTGTTTTTGTGCCGCAATGCTCACAGTGCGGTCCGGCTGCGGGCCCCTGGGCCAGGCCGTGGTGGTATATGGAGTTTCCCTTGCGGTCCAATTTGGATTTGGTAGACCCAATGGGCTGTGTTGACCATGCGCCACAGCCGACATCGCAATTGTAAACTAGCATTGAGTTACCCGCGGTAAATTTGACCTGTGCGGGAGATTGATAGACCCGAACAAAGACGCGAGCGTAAAAGTCGATAGACAGAGACAATAGTGGCTCGATAGCCACTCCATACTTGGCCGCGGACATGGCAATGGCATTCAGAATCAATCGCAGACCACCTTCGTGGGAGTGGAGGCCTTTGACGGGGATACCGCCGTACAGAGAGAATGCTTTTTCCGAATAGCCGGTCGAGGCCCAGACACCGGCATCGGTGCAAGTAACACACAAAAGGCCACCATCTTTGGCTGCTTGCACTGCGGCATCCAGGAACGGAGATGCTGTGCCATATGGATCCAGATCAATGACGTCGAACTTGCTCGCAGTGTCAAGCCCGTACATGTAAACGCGAGCATCAGCCAGATTAGGTTGAATCGTTTTAAGGTTGTTGTAGTCAATGTTCTTCTTCATGGACTTTATTGCTGACCTTGACAGATCATTGGCTACGACCTTTGTGACAAATGGAAGCTCCGAGGCATAGCGAAGGGCGCGCAGTCCAGTTGCGGAGAGAGCATCAAGAATAGTGAAGGAACCTGTGGGTTGCTCTGGCCGAGCTTCTGACTGAGGTTCTTGATCAACCGCGGGAGCGGAGACTGGCTGGTCGTTTGTCTCTGTGTTTTCCTTGTGTTCTGCTTTGGGGGCGGGCCTCGGGTTCTCGGTCTGGTCGTCTTCACGCTTCCTTTTCTTTTCCCCATTGCCTGCCTGCTTCTTCAGTTTCTGGGCCGCTTTTTGTTTCTTCAGGTCTATGATGTGTTCTCCATGAGCGCGAATGGCCAGCACACTGAGGTCGCGATTAAATTGTTGGATTGGGTTGTAGAAGACGGATTGCATTTGGTCGTCGCTTTTGAGATCCTTCTTCGTTCCCTTGGAAGCGGCCTCTTGGGCAGGCGGGTTGAGAATTTTTGCCAGACCCTCTTTGATAACATGGTAATTGTCTCCCTGGTATTCCACCAGCTGGACCTGAGGAGCCTCCATGGCTCTAGAAGTGGAAAGGATTCGGACACAAGATCGGATCGAAGTGGGTGTCGAGCGGGGGAATTGGGCCAGAATAAGGGTAGGAATGAGTCTTCGCTTAGCGTAATTTGTTGCCGATCCAAAAATCAACGAGGGGTTCATGAGCGAAGCCTTTCGCTGCATGTCACAAGAGAACGTTGAATGCGACGGAGAAAAAGATTATACGCACGGACCAGTATGCAGTACACAGCAATACCTGTTTTGTAATTTATGTCAACTATAAAAGTATGTAGGATCAAGCAGTCTTGATTGCAGCTCGCATGTCACAGCTTATTATTGCGATGATATCAGAGGACGAGATTTGATATTTGTATAGTAGAAAGAGCAATATTCATGATGTCTTCAGGCTCTTTTTATACATTAGGATTAAGTCTATGTAAGTAATATGTCCAATCATACAAAGCTATCACAGCCACTCCCCAATAATCGGGACATGATTATACATCTCGTTCCACCCCTTGGCCTCCCAGCCCGCGCCTTCGCCGGCACGTCCAATAACCCCGAGCGCACCTGCAAGCCAGAGAGCCGTGCTAGCAGCCGCGACTCCATTGACAACCCACCACATCTTACGCTGTCTCTTCGACTTCATTTCTGTAAGTCCAAGGTAACCATCCAACGAGCCTTTTTGGCTACGCTCCTTGCGCGCTGTGGTCACTCTCCAGCCCATCCAGGTCGCCCAGCCACCAACAAAGTGCCACACACTGGCAGTCACAAAGAAGAAATAGAATACATTCCAGAAGACAGGGCTCCGAGCAAAGCCATGGGCAATATACCCAAGTCCCACGCCAGAGCTTCCTCCTTCGACAATCAATGGCGTGGCACGGTTGACCCATACGTGGAATCCAATCAGCGGCGCGACAAAGTATCCAGTGCGTGCCTGTAAAGACATCCGCGGCCAGAAGTATAACGTGTTTCGCTGTGCGCGAGTCTCGGCACCGTACAGACGTGCTCTGCGCGTAGCACGAATGTTGCGGAGAGCAATTCCTGAGGCAATATGCGCAAGTATAGGAATTGTCAAGACAAGATGCTCAAGCCCGGGGGCCTGGTATATGGGTCGTGTGAGTAAAAGGTAGGATTCACTCGCGGGAACGGAGCGAGTCACGAGTGGGATAAGAGAGGTGTTGGCGAGATGTAGGATGAAGAAAGCCGAAGGTGGGTAGGTTGAGTATTTTTGAATACCGGTGACTAAATAATCATTGTGGTTAGAATATATAACCCAGCTTTTGTTGATTGACGTACGCCATGAATCCCAGCGATGCCCGCCTAGTTTGGGGATTGAAATTCCAGCTCCATGTTGCGTAGGAGAGGCGGCCCTAGGGAAGTATTCGCCGCTTTCAACATCCAGAATGTCATGGACAGGCGATGGGTCTAATTCTTGCAAGGAGATGATAGACTTGGTGTCGATGTCCTCCGGTTTGGAGAGCACGTGGGACGACATTGTACGATTTTCAGGATTTTTGGTTTTCAGGAGCTAGAGAAAAAGCGTGAGAATGAAATTCGTAAGAAAATAACTCGTCAATCATGCATCCATATTGTATAGGCGAACTAGGAAAAAGCAGGGAAATGTTGGGCTTCAAGGATCTCCGAGTCGCGAAAATACAGCAGCTCTGATAGGTCACTTCTTCGACGGGTAATGACGATTGTCCACAGTCCATGGTCATGTGACTCGATATACATCGTATCTTACTATAGTAGTAGTTTAGTTTTAACTTGCTTGATTTAATATAAATATTACATCCAAGTACATGTCTTGCCCATATGCTTAAAATAGGAACTATATAGCTACTTAATGATTAACAACAGCACATTAGCATGAAAGCTGAGATACATAATGGAGAGACTAACCATGAATCCATATCTGCCACATTTCACAGGCAGCGACGCGCGTTAGACCCCGTTATAAATACGCAGATGGTCGTAATGCCCGGCCGTACTTAACGCTCTCTCTCTCCGAACTTCACGGATACTCTACTTCGGGGACAATGGCACCGGTATGCTCTTATTTTTTGGTCCAAAACTGACACCTCAGCTAACAAATATAGCGTGGTTTCACGAACCCCGCTCCTAGGGTAATTAATCACCCAGGTCTGCCATATCTGCTATCGCCAAGCTAACCCTTATAGACCGAATCAGCGCGGTCTGCGCTGAGCTCCTTCACCTGCAGCCTGTGCAACAAATCCTACTCGCGCCACCCAGAATATGAAGCACATATCGGCTCATACGATCACCAGCACAGAAAGCGTTTGCAAGATCTCAAGCAGTTAACACGTGATCCAAATGCCGTCGAGAAGAACCGCCGGGCAGAACGTAAAGCCGATGCGCAGGCCGGTCTGAAAGTCATCGAGACTCCTGTCGACAATGTGATACCAAGTGGAGGAAGCACGGGGTTCAAGAAGGGAGGTTTTAAAAGCTCATTCGCCACTGTCAAGGGAGCAGTGGCCCCTACAGCCCCAGTCAAAAAGAACGTTCTAGGAGACGACGAGGAAGATGATACCCCGAAACCAAAAGACCAAGATCCATCAAATGTGGGCAGGCCCCAAAAGATTGAACCTGGTGATGTGGAAAGTGAAACCGACGAGGAATACGGCCAAGAAGGATATTATGATCCTCGCCGGCCAACGGACTGTTTCGCTGGGTGTGTTGCCCAAAAGGTCTGATGGACATCGTGATGCCAAAATGACTTGAGAATCGAATCAAATATCAAATATCCAATGGCGTTGAAGGGTACGGATTATGCTTTGTTTTAATCACTAGGCAGCAATGAATTTCCATCTAAGCCGTTTAAGCACATTTACGTTGGTTCTTGTCTGGGTGTAATGGTACATGCTTTCCAAAAGACTGTCTAAAACGGTTGGAGAACAAAAGCAGAATAAAACAACGACATAAGATGGAACAGGTGAAAGGGTACTAGGCACATGGCTATATTATTGCGAGCTCCTCACTCGCCCTCGTTTATTGGCTTACAGGCGCAGAAGCTTGGCGGCCTGGCTGACAATGGTGTCCTCCTGGGGGAAGGCCATGGTCTCAAGGCCAGCGGCGTAAGGAGTAGGAACCTCAGCACCGGTGACACGGACGGCGGGGGCGGTCAGGTAGTCGAAGCCGTACTCCATGGCCAGAGCCAGGATCTCGGACGAAAGACCGAACATGGGGTAACCAGACTCAACGACCATGATGCGGCCGGTCTTCTTGAGGGAGGCAACGATGGTCTCAACATCGAGGGGCTTAATGGAGCGCAGGTTGATAACCTCAGCGTCGACGCCGTACTTCTGCTTGAGCTCGGCGGCAGCGGTCAAGGACTGACCGACACAGCGAGAGACGGAGACGATGGTAAGATCCTTTCCGGGGCGCTCAATCTTGGCCTTGCCAATGGGCAGGACGAAGTCGTTCTTCTGGGCAGCCTCGCTCATAGGGAAAGACTGGCCGTACAGGAGCCTGGTATTGGTTAGTTCACGCGGAATCCAATAAAATGAGTAGGTTGGATCTTACTCGTTCTCCAGAACTACAACGGGGTTGGGGTCACGGATAGCAGCCTTCAGCAGACCCTTGGCATCCTCGGAGCTCCAAGGGGAGACAACCTTCAAACCGGGGATGCTGCCGTACCAGGCGGAGTAATCCTGGGAGTGCTGGGCACCGACACCGGAGGCGAAACCGTTGGGACCGCGGAAAGTGATGTTGCAAGGCTGGATACCACCGGACATGTAGTGAGTCTTAGCGGCGGAGTTGATAATCTGATCGATGGCCTGCATGGCGAAGTTGAAGGTCATGAACTCGACCTAGATCATGAAAGATTAGCATGCGATCCCGGATTCCAACAGTCACTTCCGGAAATACTCACAATGGGGTGCAGACCAGCGAGAGCAGCACCAACAGCGATACCACAGAAGCCGGCCTCTGTGATGGGAGTATCGATAACCCGCTTGGGACCGAAGCGGTCGAGCAGACCCCTCGTCACCTTGTATCTGTACAAGCGGAAGGTCAGCGTCGGTTCAACTGGAACTCATGGATTACTTACGCTCCGTTGTACTGTGCGACTTCCTCACCGAGGACGAAGGTCTTCTGGTTGCGTTCCAACTCCTCTGCCAAGGCCTCGTTCAAGGCATCACGAACGGTGACCTGCTTGGTGCCGTCCTCGGTGGCATATCCGCGGCGCAGAATTGAAGGAGCACAGGCGGACTGGCGGAGATTCGAGCGCAGAGCAGTGGAAGCAAGGCGCGAGGAAAACAGACGAGCTGTTGGGCGGAAAAGTCGGGGAGCTGCCATTGCGGAAATATGAGGGAATTGAGAAGATGAAAACAAAAAATAGAAAAAAAGATTCAATTAAAGATCGCAGACCAAATCGGACCGCAAAGACAATTGAATAGAAGAACGGGAGTGTAGATCAAAGTGAATGCCCAGGGAAAACTTATCGCCGTCCGAATAATCTTTGAGATGCAAATCCGAAGATGTTGGGCAACACGTGATATCAGAGCTCACCGGTACTGTAACCGTAACCATACCAGAATTGGAGAGCTCACCCTGAGGCATCCGACCTTGTTTACACAACATATCCTCTGTGAGGTATCTACTTTTAGTTTTATGACTACGTGTTTCCTTCCGGGTCTCTCAAGTCCTCTCAAGGTTTCTCCTTGCTGTAAATTCATGCTTTTTGACACTCTTCCAAGGGTGTAATTGTTGGTACTGATGTTGTCTTTGCTCTGGCTACTTCCGTCGGCGCTCGCCGCTCAACCCTCCGCACCCGACCCCATCTCCGCTCCGCTGCGAGCTCTTGATTTCGGGCAACTGAATTTCCTCCATACTACCGATACTCATGGCTGGCTGGCTGGTCATCTGCAGGAGTAGGCTTTAGACCCTGCTAAGCTTTGAGTTGTACTAATAATCGCAGACCGTCCTACTCCGCAGACTGGGGAGACTATGTATCATTTACGACACGCATGCGGGAAAAGGCTGAAGCACAAGGACAAGATCTACTCGTGATAGATACTGGTGACCGAGTCGAAGGGAATGGCCTGTATGACTCCTCGGAGCCCAAGGGTATCTACCTTTCAGACATCTTGCAGCACCAGCACATCGACCTGTTGACGTCGGGAAACCACGAACTATACAAGCAGAATACATCGGAGGCTGAGCTTCTTGTCACCGTTCCTAATTTCCGGGGCAACTATCTGGCTTCAAATATCGACATCATTCACCCGACCACCAAAGAGCTTGTGCCTCTGGCTCCGCGGTTTAAGAAGTTCACTACCAAGAAACAAGGTATCCGTATAGTAGCGTTTGGCTTCCTCTTTGATTTCAACGGAAATTACAACAATACTGTGGTCCAGAGAGTATCTTCTACTATCAAAGAGGATTGGTTCCAAGAAGCCATTCGGGATAAAGAAGTGGATCTGTTTTTGGTGATTGGCCATGTGCCTGTCCATTCGCCGGAATATCGGGCGATCTTCAAGGAGATCCGGGGAATTCGTTGGGATACCCCGATCCAATTCTTTGGCGGGCACCAGCACGTGCGTGACTATGCGCAGTATGATTCTAAAGCCTTTGGGCTAGCGAGTGGTCGATTCATGGAAACTGTTGGCTTCATGTCAATCGATGGCCTCGCCAGCAAAACAAGCCACCAGTCTGCTGCCGGACCCGTCTTCAAGCGCAGATATATTGACAACAATATTTTTTCTTATTATCATCACACCGGTCTTGATCAAGACACCTTCCCAACCGAAAAGGGCCTCAATGTCTCCCGATTGATCGCCAAAGCACGGACTGACCTTCATCTGGACCACATCCATGGATGTGCTCCACATGATTTATGGATGTCGCGAGTTCAGTATCCGGACCCCAGCAGCATTTACACTTGGCTTGAGACTCAGGTTTTGGGTGACTTGAGGGATGAGACTCGTGGGGACACGCCTAGCCTAGCCATTGTTAATACGGGCGCTATGAGGTTCGATATCTTCAAGGGGCCTTTTACCCAAGACTCGACTTTTATTGTATCTCCATTCACTAGCACCTTCCGCTATGTGAAAGATGTCCCATATGACAAGGCACGACTTATTGTCGAGGTTCTAAACGAGCAGCCTCAAGTTTCATCTACGGATGAATCTTCGTTGACAACCTTGGGCCCTCTCGAGCAACTTGCATATCCGGAAGACGTGATTGCCGAAAACTGGCCTAAAGCTAGCGAGCAAATCCCCATGTCCGGTCCGGACCTCGTGCCCGGTTACACGACAAAAGATGATGCGGGCACAGATGGCGATGACACCATCCATTCACCCATCTCCTTTTACCGCGTGCCGAACTGCATTCAATCCCTCAAATCTGCCAATGCATCTGAGACACCGAAGACGGTAGATTTGGTCTACCTTGACTTCATCGAGAAATATGTAACACTGGCCGCCAAGTTTGCTGGTCTCGATGTCGACATTGCAAAGGAAAGCGATGTCTATATGCCGCACGTGTCTCTAACAAACCTGATTCTTGACTGGGTGAAGAAGAACTGGAAGTGTTGATAAATATATTTTCTAGCTCGGTTCATTTTGTTACAATTCATTCCTAGTTTCTGGACCCATGTTGTACGCAGAAGTAAATATCGGAGAAAAACCGGCTAGGTTTATAATACATTTATATTGCTGAGGTGGCTGTTCACTCAATCACCGCCGTTGAATGTGAACACACCCTTCCCACTACGGTAGCCGCCCAAAGTGCCCTGCACACTCTCTGCCAACTCCGGGCCCTCGGACTCCCAGTTCCACTTGACCTCATCCACCGGGATATCCCGGAACTTGCCAGAGCGAGTCAATTGAAGCACATCCTTGATGGTACTCTCCTTCAGCTGCGGGTTCTTGTCACCCCACTTGCTGACCCAGAACCCATCAAAAGCGAGGTTCTTGAAGATCAGCAGGCCCGAGGGCAATGCAACAGGTTGCTTAGACATGGCCCCGTAGGTCACCATGTGCGAATCAGGAGCCAAAGTCTTCGCCAAAGCGGTGGCATTCTTCCCGCCAACGCAGTTCAATGCCAGACGGATGGGCTCCCGGCCTTGGCGGGTGAACTCGTGGACCATATCCCGGAAGTTGCCAGTAAGCATCTCCTCCTCGGTGATGACAACGGTAGCTCCCAGGTCCCGGAGCTCCTTCTTAAGAGCCTCGGTCTCCTCGGGGGTCTTGCGCTGTCGAACGACATTGAGTGTCTTAATTCCCCACTCGCGGCCCAGCTGAATAGCTGCTCGTCCGACACCACTGTTGGCACCGTTCTGGATCATCCATTCCTCGCCAGCACGCATCCAATCCCATTCACAGAAATCCCGGAGCATACGGTACGCAGTGACGGGGTTGACACTGACAGTGCCAACCTGCAGAGGGGTCAGGCCCTCCTTGTTCTCAATCTTGATCAACTGGGATTCGTCCAGCTGCGCGTGGGTACGCCAAGTACCCAGGCCTGTGCGCTTCATAATGACCCAGTCACCTTTGCTGAGGTTCTTGACGCCTGCACCGGTTGACAGCACCTCGAATGCGCCCTCGTTACCACCGACTGCGGCGGGCTCTGCGTTTCCGAGATCCGTTTGGAAGGGAGGTTTGCTGGGGTAAACACCCTGGATCTGGTTCACGTCGGCGGGGTTCATCGGCGCCGTCAACAGGCGCAGATTCACTTGGGTTGCATGCGGCGC